AATTTCATTTGGGGTCACATCGTACGCAGTTCAGAACAAGGCCGGTGAGGATGGACGACGGCAACGGCCGCTACCGGAAAAAAGCTTCAAGCGAAACAAAGCATGATCGAAAACTGGCGGGCTGGCCTTTCACTGCTCCTGTGAAGAACCTTGAGGTTCATCATCCTGAAACACACGGCCCGCCATGTGATGGGCAGCAACAGCCGCGTCGGCTCGCTGTCGCCGTTCGTGTTGATTTTTCTAAATGGAAAAAGCTTATGATGAGCAACGAGAATTCGCGGCCAAGGCAATGACCAAGCGCATACCGAATGGGCATATTATACACTTGGGAGCCCACAGCGCACTGCCACAGCCTGACCCTCTCAGCGATCGTAGATGCAGCAGCGGGCAAGCCGCCCGCGACTCTTCCGACCCGCTCGCGCACCATGACGGCGCAGCCAGAGCCCTCAAATGGCAGCAGAGTATCTCACTAGCGTGTGACGAAGCCACTTGAGAACAGGTGCAAATCAACAACAGGAGGCAAGTGGTGCATGCCATCGTCTCTGTGACCCTTGCAGGACGGAGATTGGCTCAAGATCAAGAGTCTCCAGGACTCGAGAGTCCGTTTCAACACACATCGCCACAAAAAGTTTTTTACTTTTTTTTACAAAATAAAACATGATTTTCAAGGGAGGAGACAGAGAATGTCATCCTTTTAGAGATCGCTTCAATAAGTGCTGAATATACTGCATCTTCTTAGTTTGACAAGATCTGCTTCAACTACTTGGAGCTTTGCTTCATTAACCCCTTGGCTTTGCTTTGCTGTAGAGAGACACAGAGAGAGACAGAGAATGTCATCCTTTTAGAGATTTCTTCAATAAGTGCTGAATGTACTGCATCTTGTTACTTTGACTGGCCATGATCGGCTTCAACTAGTCGTATCTTTGCTTCATTAACCTCTTGCCTCTCTTCCTTCCCTTAAGCTTTGCTTGAATTTTTAATTTTGAACATCGCGATGAAGCACAGACAGAGGATGAAACAGGACCATGGGCGGCGGGCGCACTCCTGATGATGATGGTGCGGTTTGTCGTCGTTGTGGCATCAGGGGCGAGCGCTGTCGAGGTGCAAGCGACGACAGGGATGAACGGGTGGCCAAACAACATTGCCGTGCGACCGTCGTGGATGGATCATCTTCCTGATCTTGTCGTGTTTTGG